GGCTACCCCTGCCTTGCTTCACAACCACCTTCCCAGGCAGAACTGCCCTACTGGCCAGGATTCATTCAGCATCTACAATTTACTTTGATCTCTCCAACCTCCTGGCTTTCTGCATGTGCCATTCTCTCTATTTGGAACATTCACCTGCCTTTGCTCCCTGCTTCCCCCCCGCCGCAACCCCGGCTTCTTCACCCAGTTAACCCCTATTCAACCTCCAGATCGCTCCAAAAATCCCTTCCTTGACCTCCCAGACTAACATTCCCTTCTATACATCCCACAGCACCACATACTTTTCTCAATAACACTTACTGCAGTTGTAAATTACGTTTGTGTGATTATACGAATGAAACATTTATGATTTGAGAAAATGCTATGCATCATAACTTATGTTCATAACTGTTGATTCTCAAACTCAGAAAAAAAATACAGTAGACAAAACTCTCACCTGGGGGCGGCTCAAAGAAGGCTTCCTGCTCCTCCTCGATGGGCTCAGTGTCGTTGTGGGCTGTCCGTTTGTGCATGGCCAGTGTGGAGATCTGCTTGTATGTCTTCCCACAGTGGTTACAGTTGTAAGGTTTAGAATGAGTGTGGACAACATGATGTTTGTACAAACTGGAATATTCTGTAAACCTTTTGTCACAACCAGGAACTGTACAAACATATGGCTTTTCCCCTAAAGAACAGAACCAAAAAAAGGTCAACTTGCCAGGCGCAGTGGCTCACGTCTGTAATCCCAGCACTTTGGGGGGCCAAGGCAGGCGGATCACGAGGTCAGGAGATGGAGACCATCCTGGCTAACACAGTGAAACCCCATCTCTACTGAAAAAAAACAAAAATTAGCCAGGCATGGTGGCACGCGCCTATAGTTCCAGCTACTCAGGAGGCTGAGGCAGGAGAATCGCTTGAACTCAGGAGGCGGAGGTTGCAGTGAGATGAGACCGAGCCATTGCACTCCAGCCTGGGTGACAAAGCGAGAATCTGTCTCAATAAAAATAAATAAATAAATAAATAAATAAAAAGGTCAACTTTTACGTATGTAGGCATGATCATTCCACACTTCCCCCGCAGGGGGTAAAATACCTCTAAAAATAAATAGTTGCCAAATTCCTCCTCATCCCACCATGAGGCAGCACACAAGAAAAGATTCCCTAACTATGGTTGTAACCCAACTCAAAAGGTAGCATGCATCCTTAGTTGTCCCCATGCATCAACACCATGTTCCCCTTTATCTCACGGAATGGGAAAAGGATGGAGATGTTACCCAGTTTAACTCTAACCTTGATGAAATTGTAATTTCTTGTTTCTTATAACTAGATAATCTAGATACTGTTAGTGATACTCTACTAATAATGACGATAATAAATGTAAATATTATTGTAACTTATGCAGCTTATCCTAAGAATTTTATAAAGATAATAAAAAAGGATTTTCTTTAAAAGTCTATTAAACATTTGGCCAGGCACAGTGGCTCACATCTATAATCCCAGCAATTTTGGAGGCTGAGGCAGGCAGATTGGCTGAGGTCAAGAGTTCGAGACCAGCCTGACCAACATGAAGAAACCCTGTCTCTACTAAAAATACAAAATCAGGCAGACATGGTGGTGCATGCCTGTAATGCCAGCTACTCGGGAGGCTGTGGCAGGAGAACTGCTTGAACCCAGGAGGTGGAGGAAGCTGCAGTGAGCCAAGATCATGCCACTGGACTCCAGCCTGGGCAACAAGAGCAAAACTCCAACTCAAAAAAAAAGGTCTATTAAACAACGTTAGATATATCAATACACCTAAAAGGACAAACATGTTTCATTTAACTGAACCTGACTTCTTGCATCCAATCAAAAGCTACTGAGTATTCACTAATAGCAAGTAGGCAATACACAGGGAAGTAAGTAATTTTTGTTCTATGAAAAGGCTTAAGAACATTATAGGCAGTACATATATTTTTAGAACTTTTTATTATAGAAAATTTGAAATATACACAAAAGTATAGTGAAATAGTGTATTAACCCCCATGTACCAATCATCCAGCCTCAACTATCAATTCATGACTAATACTGTTTCTTATATTTACTGCCCATTTTCCTCATTCTTCCTCACCAGGACTATTCTGAAACAGTTCCAGATAACATTCCTTTTCTTTCAGACTGTATATCTAAAAGATGGGTCCCAGTTAAAAAAAATATGTAAACAAAACTAATAATAATTACTTAATATCACAAACTATCCAAACAGTGCTAACATATGGTGGTGTGGGGACCTAGAACTGAAAGTAAACTGGAACAAATTAACCTAGTTGTTTAAGTGAATACTACTCTGAAGGTGGGGGAACAAATAAATTAATTAAAGTAACTCATTTATACAGTATTTGATTTATGCCCTCAGTCTTGGGCTCAGTGGCAAAGGTGAGGGGAAGAATTGCAAACAAATATTCAGCACTTTTTTAGTAGGTTTGTTCACTGTAGTGTAAGGGTGAAGTGATTCTGAAACTATTTTAGATGGAATAAAAGACTGAGCAAATGAGTAAATATTTCAAATGCTGCTGGAAGTCAGGGTTACTGCTGTGGAAAAAGGATAATACAAATATGGACCAAGGGAAGGGAAAAAAAAGAACCCTGTGGTGAAATGGAATTGGAGGCATTGGTATGAACTCAAACTTATCAAAGTACGTGTACATATACATGTCCTGGTTTATTCTCATTTGACACATTCCTTGAGTAATTGCACTGTTCAATGGTTCTAAACACAGTAAACCCATCTAAAAGTAACAAGATATCACACTAATGTACTATAACACAAGTCTTATACATACAGTAATTGGCGATTGCTTCCTGTCCTCTGCCCAGTTCCCATTCTCAGCACCACGCTCTTACCAATTGAGCTAACCGACCGTCCGACCCAGTTCCCATTCTCAAATCAGGCAGGTTAATGCCTTTGGGAGGCCTAGGCAGGCAGATCACCTGAGGAAAAATCAGCCCAGTTGATAGTTAGGCTAGAGCAGAAATTGCCACTAGGTGGCACCAAATCACAGCCAAGAGGCAAATCTATTTGGATTGTGCTTTTGCGCTCCCTTACTGGCTAGCTGCATAGCCTCGTGTGAGTCATCTGACTAGCCTTGCAAAAAAGAAAAAGAAAAAAAGGAGTGCATTTCACAGAGCTGAATCTTTACACTCTGTTGGATAGTGTGGGCATTTATTGTAGCAGTTACTTGATCATGAGCCAATCATTTCTTCCAAAGACCTGGGGAGCTTTTAACATATCCCGATGCCTGTGACTCGCCCCAGTACAATTATGTCAGAATCTTTGCAGACAGGATCTGGAGAATCAGTCTATTTCAAAGAGCTATATTTAATATGCAGCCTCATTCGAGAGCACTGCTCTATCTAAATGTTCCAAAGACATCAATATGGCCAAACTTAATGTAGGCATCTCTCTTATTTTGCCTTTAAAATGTGCTGAATGGCTAGCTTTCAGATAATTAGTCTGTATTCCATTACTTTTTTTTCTTTTTGAGACAGAATCTTGCTCTGTCGCCCAGACTGGAGTGCAATGGCATGATGTCAGCTCACTGCAACCTCTGCTTCCCAGGTTCAAACAATTCTTCTGCCTCAGCCCTCCGAGTAGCTGGGATTACCAGGCACACACTACCACGTCCAGTTAATTTTTTGTATTTTAGAGACGGGGTTTCACCGTGTTGCCCAGGCTGGTCTTGAACTCCTGAGCTCAGGCAATCTACCTGCCTCAGCCTCACAAAGTGCTGGGATTGCAGGCATGAGCTACTGAGCCTAGCTCTATATTCCATTACTTTAAATGGGAAAAATTATGTTTTCTCAGCCCATCCAAAAAGCCCCTGCCATTTTCTCCAATTATCACAATAAGGCTCTTAAGCACTTATAAGAAGAAGCACTGAAAACATCAATTATTTATTTATTTAGGACAGAGTCTCGCTTTGTTGCCAGGCTGGGCTGCAGTGGCGCAATCTCGGCTCACTGCAACGTACGCCTACTGGGTTAAAGCGATTCTCCTGCCTCAGCCTCCTGAATAGCTGGGAACATGGGTGCATGCCACCATACCCAGCTAATTTTTTTGTCTTTTTAGTAAAGACGGGGTTTCACCATGTTGGCCAGGATGGTCTCGATCTCTTGACCTCGTGATCCGCCTGCTTCAGCCTCCCCAGGAGTGCTGGGATTACAGGTGAGCCACCATGCCCGGCTTATTTATTTTTTTGAGATGGAGTTTTGCTCTTGTTTCCCAGGCTGGAGTGCAGTGGCGTGATCTCAGGTCATTGCAACCTCTACCTCCCGGGTTCAAGCGATTCTCCTGCCTCAGCCTTCCAAGTAGCTGGGATTACAGGTGCCCACCGCCACGCCTAATTTTTATATTTTTTAGTAGAGATGGGGTTTCACCATATTGGCCAGGCTGGTCATAAACCCCAGACTTCAGGTGATCTGTCCACCTTGGCCTCCCAAAGTGCTGGAATTACAGGTGTGAGCCAGTATGCCTGGCCATAATTAATTAACAGTAAGTGAACTCATTTGTAGGTACATGTTTATGTGTAGTACATAACAACTGAGTATCAGGGCTGGAGGTGATGGCTAATGCCTGTAATCGCAGCACTTTGGGAGGCAGTGGCGGATGGATCACCTGAGATCAGGAGTTCAAGATTAGTCTGGCCAATATGGTGAAACTCTGTCTCTACTAAAAATACAAAAATCAGCCAGGTGTGATGGCACACACCTGTAATTCCAGCTACTCAGGAGGCTGAGGCAGGAGAATCAGTTGAACCCGGGAGGCGGAGGTTGCAGTGAGCCAAGATCACAACAGTGCACTCCAGTCTGAACAACAGATGGAGACTCTGTCTTAAAAAAAAAAAAAAGGTCTTTTAATTTTGAATTAACACAAGATAAGATTACCCTTAATACCAGTAATAAAACTATATTAAAAATTTTCTGGCCAGGCACGGTGGCTCACGCCTATAATCCCAGCACTTTGGGAGGCTGAGGTGGGCGGATCACAAGGTCAAGAGTTTGAGACCAGTCTGGCCAATATGGTGAAACCCTTTCTCTACTAAAAATGCAAAAATTAGTCGGGCGTGGTAGTGGGTGCCTGTAGTCCCAGCTACTCAGGAGGCTGAGGCAGGAGAGTTGCTTGCACCCAGGAGGTGGAGGTTGCAGTGAGCCGAGACTGTGCCACTGCCCTACAGCCTGGGTGGCAGGGTGAGACTCTGTCTCAAAAAAAAAGAATTTTTTTAATAAAACTAATGCACATCCTGTACTACTCTCACATTTGCCTTTCCATTCTCATCCACCAAAAATACATCCACAAAATGGAGCATCAAAATTAAAAGCTTCTCAGTATCAAGAGAATTAAAAAACCAGCCATAGAATGGAAGAAAATATTTGTAAATTATACATCTGATAAGAGACTTGGATCTAGAATTAGAAAGTCACACAACTCAGTAATAGAGACAACCCAGTTTTTAAAAGGGGCAAAGGATCTGCATAGACATTTCTCCAAAGAAGATACACACGTCTAATAAATACATTAAAAAAATGTTTCAGCCAGGAGCAGTGGCTCACTCCTCTAATCCCAGCACTTTGGGAGGCCAAAGTGGGAGGATCACAAAGTCATGAGTTTGAGACCAGCCTGGCCAACATGGGGAAACCCCGTCTCTATTAAAAATGCAAAATTCGGGCCAGGTGCAGTGGCTCACGCCTGTAATCCCAGCACTTTGGGAGGCCGAGGCGGGTGGATCATGAGGTCAAGAGATCGAGACCATCCTGGTCAACTGGTGAAACCCCGTCTCTACTAAAAATACAAAAAATTAGCTGGGCATGGTAGCACGTGCCTGTAATCCCAGCTACTCAGGAGGCTGAGGCAGGAGAATTGCCTGAACCCAGGAGGCGGAGGTTGCGGTGAGCCTAGATCGCGCCATTGCACTCCAGCCTGGGTAACAAGAGCGAAACTCCGTCTCAAAAAAAAAAAAAAAGAGCAAAATTCATCCAGGCAGTGGCAGGCGCCTGTAATCCCAGCTACTTAGGAGGCTGAGGCAGAAGCATTGCTTCAACCCAGGAGGCAGAGGTTGCAGTAAGCCAAGATTGCACCACTGCACTCCAGCCTGGGCGACAGAGCAAGACTCCGTCTTGGGGGGAAAAAAAGAGGCTTCACATCATTAGCCATCAGGAAAATGCAAATCAGAAGTTAGAATGATTCATGCCCACCCAGGAATGCCAAAAAAAAAAAAAAAAAAAAAAAAAAAAAAAAAAAAAAAAAAAAAAAAAAAAAAAAAAAAAAAAAAAAAAAGTCAGAATGAGATACCAATTCATACCTTCCAAGATGGCTATAATCAAAAAAGACAGATAATAACAACTGTTAGCTGGGATATGGGGAAACTGGAACCTATATACATTGCTGGTAAGATTGTAAAATGGTGCAGCCACTTCAGAGAACAGTTTGGAAGTTCCTAAAATGTCAAGCACTGAGTTAGCATATGACCCAGCAAGTCCACTCCTAAGCACACCAAAGAGAAATAAAAACATGTCCACATAAAAACTTGTACATGAATGCTCATAGCCTATAAAGAATACATGATATACGTAAACTATTATTATTCATAATAGCCAGAAAGCAAAAACAGCTGATGAATGAATAAACAAAAATGTGGTATACCATATAATGAAATACTATTAAATTACTGAAAAACGAAATAATTTAAAAGATGCTACGATATGGCTGAACTTTATGCTAAGAGAACGAACTCAGGCAAAAACCCCACATACTGCATGATTCCATTTATATAACCATGTCCAGAATGGGAAAATCCATAAGAGGGAAAGTAGATTCGTGATTGCTTACAGCTGGCAGGTGGAGTGGGGAAAGGATTCCTCCTAAGTATGGAGTTTCTTTTAGGGGAAATGAAAATATTCTAAAATTGAATTGTGATGAAGGTTGCACAACCTTGTGAATATACCAAAAAACACTGAATCATATACTTTAAATGGATGAATTGTACAGTATAGTATGTGTTGTATAGTATATGAATATAGTATATCAATAAAGCAGTTTACAAAAAAAAAAAGAATATATCCATGGACCACCCTTCCACCTCTCAAGCTTCTCAAAGTCCAGTCTAAGAAACACCTTAACTAGGACAGCACAACACACAAGGCCTCTGGCTACCTCTCAGAACTCACTTTGTAGAAATCTACATGTACTTGATGCTCCTGTCATATGGAACCACTGAGTATCATGCTTTTTCATACCTTTGTGCCTTTTCCCATGACATTTTCCCTGCCAGGAATGCCCTTCTCTCATATGTGGCAAACTTCAGGATTAAGTCTGTATGTCAAATTTCCCTCGAAAGCATTCCCAGAATGCTTCTCCCATTCCCACAGAAGTGACTGCTCCCTGTTCTGCTCCCATAGAATCTTGTCCATATAATGGGAGACACTCTGCAGCAACTGCATGTCTACTCTCTCTTCCCAAGTAGCCTGCCCTTGATAATGTCTTATCTCTCTCTATTTGATGCCTGACAGGAGATACTCAA